TCCGTCCGTCCGTCTTGTTATGTAGTTCACGTAAGGCATGGAGTTGTGTTTCTCAGAACACAGCTCATAGCAATCCTCCTACCTCAGCCTCCTGAGTGCTGGGATTGCAGGCATGCACTACCACTCCCAGCTGTGATCTTAATGGTGCAACTGTTTTCTTCTGTTCTTCATCATAATGTATAGTAGAGGATAGGTTATATAAAAGTGATGTGCACTAGATAGACATGAAGCCGCGAGTATAAGAAGGGTATACTTCTTAAACAATTTTTTGAAAAACGACTTTGTATTGATTATACCAGGAATATTGAGTATACTAGGAAGTTTTTCACAGGTGGGCATTAGTATCTTAACAGCTGAGAATGATTGAGGAAAGAATAACCTATCTGTTTTGAAGAGATCTGGAGATAATTCTTCCTGCCTTGTATTTGTTCCTAGGCTAAGGAAAGGTTGTGGAGCTGGATGTAACAGTGGGGGCAATATCGAGGATTCTGACACTGGAGGTGGAACTTCCTGTCCTGGTAACAATGCCACAACTGCCAACGACCCCCACGGCAACGTGCCCCAGGGAAGCACTGGAAATCCCGGGCAGGGGTCGGGAGTGGGACTCCATCCGCCTGTCACTTCTTACCCTCCAGCACTAGGTAATAGGAAGCATAGGCCTATGTGCCCATAAAAAGAGGAATGCGTATTATCTGTGTGGAAATGTATAGATTATTTTTCTCAACTCTCAGTTGTACATTATCCTATTTGTTTATATTAATCATTCATATGTATATATAATCTGTGTATATATTTACTTGACATTTTACCAAAAAATCTTCAAAATACTAAGAATTCTTTGAAAATATAATTTAAAGGCTAATATTTAATTATATTTTGTTTAACTTCTTAATGGACAGTGACTTGGTTTCTTCTGACATAATATTGCAATTACTTTTGTATGTAAATCTTTATAATCACTTACTGTTTTCTTGGCTAAGACTTTAAAAATCAGTAGGAGAAAACTTACTCTTAGGAATAAGACTCTTGCTGCCTAATGCCAGAAATCTTTCCAGAAAGTTTTTTCTAAAGGAGTGTTGGCAGCATTGGTCTTTTCCCAACTTGGAGTAGCGTAAGTTTTCTCCTCCTCTCCCTGTTTGCTGAGGAAGTCAGGAGACGGGTGGGTGGGTGGGTGGTTGCTTGGTGGGTTTTCAGTACTGGGGATTGAACCCAGGACTTTCACACAAATCTGTATTCCCAACCCTTTTATTTTTGTATATTTTGAAACAGGGTCTTGATAAGTTAGTAAATTGCCCAGGTTGGGCTTAGCCTTGCTGTCTTCCTGCCTTAGCCTCCTACAATTTGGGATTAAGGGTTTGTGCCGGCACCTAATTGATGGAGCACTTTTTAATTTCATTGTTTCAATTTGCGTTGCTCTGATACCCAGAATTGCAAGTTTTTAATGATTTTACCTGTTTTCTTTCCAGAAGGCTTACTCTGGTTCTTGCCTATTTTTCCTTACTGATTTTTATGTGTGTTCTTTGTCTGAACAGTTTGTCAGTTTTCTGTACTGCAGATATATTTTCCAGCCCATCCTCTGACTTTTCATTTTATTCCTGTAAAGTGTCTTGCCTACTCATGATGGGGGAAGTCTTCCAGTGTAGAAGAATTCACTTTTCCTTTTGCTTAGTGCTATTCTTTTTTTCATGAGTGAAAACAAGAAATTTTTAGCGTGCTTTTTTGCATATACATTTGGTACTGACTAGCTTTTTATTTTCAGGTATAAAGCACGTGTAGCTAAGTCTTCAGTATAATTAATGATTATTTCCAGAGGATTTTCACATTACTCTTACTAGTCAGAAAAACGTTCAGAGAATCACCAGAAACCACTTGAAGAAGGGTGCAAAAGAACCTGGTATTCAGTGTCACTGAAATTTCCATGCAGTAGTAGTAGTGAAGTGACTACTTTGTAGGGGTGCAACTCATCACTGGAGCAGATTGAAAGGGCAGGAATGTACTTGGAAAAATTGTAGCTATAAAACTTGCCACACAGAAACATTTGTCTTTTTCTAGTTAATGAGTAAAAATTGCACGTTTTTGGTATAGAGCATGATACTTTGATGTTTGAGTACATTGTGAAATGATTAAGTCGAGCTGCTTAACAAGTCTATCACCTCATACCCTGCATACCATTTGGTAAGAACATTTCAGGTCTGCCCACTTCACAGTCTTCAAGCATGCAACATCCTTCACCATAGTCAACGTACTGTGCAATCGTAGACCTTCGGCCCACCTGGCACTGCAGAGCTTTGGCAGCACCCCCTCCTTTCTCTTCTCCCCTCTCTGGCAACCACCATTCTACTTTCTGCTTCTATGAGTTCAGCTTTCTTAGATTCCACATGGAAGTGAGGTCATGCAGTATTCCTTTATAAGTCTTTCTCTCTCATTTCTATATTTCATTTCTGATGTACTAAAGAGTTATTCTTGTTCTAAAATATTTTGGGGGAGATATTTTAGGATTTATCTCAACCTTAAATCTTTTTTCTTTTTTTTGAGACAGGGTCTCTGCAGTTCAGGTTGACCTTGAGCTCACTTTGTAGCCCAGGCTGGTCTTGAACTTGCAATGATCCTCCTGCCTCAGCCTCCCGAGTGCTGGGATTACAGAGGTGTGCCACCATGCCTGGATCAATCTTAAATCTTGATATCAGCTGAAAATGATTTATCTTTCTTATACCTCATTCCAGAATTTTTTTTTAACTTTAGGAAATAAGAATACATTATAGGGCCAGGGATATAGCTCAGTGGCATAAGCACCTGCCTGGCACGTGCAATCGAAATCCTGAGTTCGATTTCCGGTACCAAAAAAATACATTGTAAAAACCACATGAGAAAACAGATCTCAGATGTTTATTTACGTTTGATGATTTTAAAGGTTATGGGCATGAACATCAAGTTTTGTGAAATTACCAAGTGATTGCTAACGGGCGCAGGTCAGAAACTGGCACAGAAGCATGCAGGGGACTCGTTCTCCTTGGAGTGAGGGCTGTTCTTGTTGTTCCTGCAGGCACCAGCCACAGCGCCCACTCAGTGCAGTCCAGCCTGGTCAGACAGTCTCCCGCTCGGGCCTCTGTAGCCAGCCAGTCTTCCTACTGCTACAGCAGCCGGCACTCGTCCCTCCGGATGTCCACCACGGGATTCGTGCCTTGTCGGCGCTCTTCCACCAGCCAGATATCACTCCGAAACTTGCCGTCCTCCATCCAGTCCCGCCTGTCCATGGTGAACCCGATGGAGCCCTCCGGCCAGAGTGCGGCCTGTGTGCAGCATGGCCTTCCCTCTTCCAGCAGCTCCAGCCAAAGCATCCCAGCTTGCAAACATCACACTCTCGTGGGCTTCCTTGGGACAGAGGGAGGTCAGAACAGTGCCACTGAGGCCCAGCTAGGGAGCACCTTAAGTCCTGCCAGTCATTCACATGCCAGAAAGGGGGATGTGATTTACAGAGTCCAAGTGAGTAAGCACAGAGGGCTTCTTGTGCTGTTCTGTTGCTCTTTTGTTTTTGTCTTACACGTTGACTAAAGGGTTCTTGTGAAAACACCCCTTATATCATTTGGTCAGGAGACTAGAGCGCTTTTGAATGTTAGGGAAAAAAGTTCCCGCCAGCTTAACAGTGGGTAAAGCAAGCTGTTTGTGCAGTGGTGATACTAGTTTCCTCGTCATCATTAACGTGTGCCTGTTGCAGCAGCCAAGGTAGTTGAAACAAATGGGGGAGGTGGCGCTCGATTTTTTTTTTTTTTTTTTTTTAAACTCTACTGTGTACAGTAGAGAACTTGAGATACAAGGAGTCCTGGGCAGAAAATTTTGTTTGGGGTTTTATTATTTTTCATTATCAAAGAAAAAGTGACTTGGAATGATTCCTATTTATTTACAATTTAGATAGTGGATCCTAGTCAAATTCTGGAAGGGATCAATTTGTCAAAAAGGAAAGAGCTGCAGTGGCCTGATGAGGGAATCCGACTAAAAGCTGGAAGAAACAGCTGGAAAGAGTGGAATCCCCAGGAGGGCATGGAAGGCCATGTAAGTTTTCTTCCGTGCTGTGACTCTTGTAGTCTGACTCATTTGTGCCCATGGTTTTAGTTAGCTGATGTATATATTTGCTTAATTCTCAAACAGAATTGCTCCAGCTCCTGAGGGAGCAGAGTTTGTGAGTACACACAGGGTCTCCTCCACTAACTGCTTGTTTTGTTCTCAATTACCAGGTGATTCACCGATGGGTGCCTTGCAGCAGAGATCCAGGTACGAGATCCCACATCGACAAGGCAGTGCTTCTGGTCCAGATTGATGACAAATATGTGACTATAATTGAAACTGGGGTACTAGAACTTGGGGCTGAAGTATGAGCTGGTGTTTTATAGCTGCATTTCTTTACTGTCTCATTTCGGAGACATTGGCAAAAGAGAGGAGCGACAGAAGATGCCTGCAGGGATGCCTTCGGTCCTGTGTGGGAGAGCCTGGAGAACAGTGACGCGGCCAAGCGCCTCTGCTTCGTCCTCCGCCCTGCCTCCACCCCCAATAAAGCTGAAATATTTTTTTAAGTTAGCTGCTGAGAAAACATTTGCATGAAGGATAAATTTCTGTTGAAATACATCTTTAAAAAGTTTTTCCTATACAATGCCTATGCTTTAAATCAACAAACTTCATTTCTAAACTATGTCTCATATTTTTCTAATTTGTTTGCCAAAAATAATTGCCATGTTTTGTCATGGAACATGAAATCCATTGACCTTGATTTTTACAAACAGACCCATGTAGAAGCGTTTGATTTGATACATAGCAGTATAAAAGTTTAATGTACAGTGAGAGAGAAGATGAACAGAGGTAGATTTATCTTAGTCCTCGAATGCTAAAAACTTTAATGGAAAAAAAACTGCACTAATTTTTTACGATGCACTAAATTCTGAGATTTCTCAGAACATTTATTTATATATAAAATAAAGTACCATTATTTAAATTGCCTTTGGGATTAACCCCTTCCCTTTCCTGATGTAGTCAACAGGAATTGTGCTGCTCGTTTTTCTGTTAATAGTCTATATTCATGCCAGTACATTGGATGTGTTCTTTAAGATGAATACGAAATCTCAAGATAGCGTAACTTCATCCTTGACATTTCCCGGAGCCAGTGGTCAGCGGACCAGTCATCTGAACACCACTGCCAGCTCCTGTGTCCACATCTCAGATGAGCTCCTTGCAGTGTGTCCCCTGTGCTTCTCTGCACGGGGCAGGCTCTGCTGGGGTTGGTTCTGGGAAGAAGAGGAATGTCCAGGAATTTAAAGAGACGATTGATTGCTTTTTATTTGAAGAGTCTTAGCTCTTGAAGTTACTCATATGAAGTTCAGTTTCTCAAGTCAAATTTTTTCAAATAAAATTACCCAAATGGTGCAGTTCTTACCAGTATATTCCTCTTCAATAACTTTGCTTTCTCTTTCCATCACCTCTTCTTTTTCTAGTACTTGAATTTTATTTCATGTAATTTATAGTGTATAATTGTAATTTGAAATATTTATAACTGTGAAATTGACTTAATTCATGTATTGTCTCATAAATTGTATTAATTTTTTAAAAGAGTGTATTCAGGGAAATATATAACTCAGACTTACAATTGGGCTGTATGAGAACTGCAATTTAGTTTTAATTTTCAACTTTTAGGATTTTTAAATTCTTAAGAAAAATTTTTGTGTGGTTTGAAATTCCAAAGAAAATTCTTCATCTCCTCTGAGCATTTAGGAGCAGCCATCTCTCTGTCCCCAAAGAATAGGTAGGAAGAAGAAGCAGAGAAAATTAATGGTGATAGATTTTATTTAATCCAGTATATCCAAAGTACTACATTTCAACGTGTGGCACTGGTCATATTTCAAGTACTCAGAAGCTGCGTGTGCCTAGTGGCTACTATGTGGGACCATGTATGACCATGTTGCATGCATTGTATATTTCCATGCGGTGAAAAGAAAAAGGTTTTTTTCCTTCTGGTTCTGACGTACATCTCACAGTAGCATAATGTGGCAGTGGAGGGAACAGAAACTGAGGAAGTAAATAGGTGACATACAGACTCTGTCTGCATTTCCACTTCAAACCCTTTTTCCCCTAATTTTAAAATTTGGAGTCACTCAGAACCCAGTGTGCCTTGTGTTGACATATTCGTAGATGTCACACTTTGGAAATTTTACTGCCTAGAAATATTTGTCAATGACTTACTGAACCTTTGCACAAAGAATTCCTTTCTAAATTGACCATTTAAAAGTGTATTTTTCTAATTGTCATTATATTCTAGATTTTCCTCATTTTTGGCAAATCCACAGTATATCATAAGTTCAGTTTTTTTTTTTCTGAAACTGAATATGTGATCTATTTTAAATCTTCTCAAAAAAATTATGTTCCCTGCTGTTCACCCCCTCTCTGAAATGAATGTGATCTTTTCACATCTTCTCTGCTGAGAGGAGAGTTAAGCAGAGGCTTTTCAATCTTAGAGGGAAGATAATCCATTTTCCCACACAGAAAAAGAACAGAAGACCTGAACTTGAGATGATTCATTCAGAAAGGTTAGAATTCTGTTTATCCCTAGCCTCCCTGCCCCAATTGTTAAACATGTTACATACCCTGAAGAGGTAGATTCCACGTATAAGACTGGGTTTTGTATGAAACATACATATCAACTCTTGCCTTCAGAAGAGCAGTTGGTGAACATTTTTGTCAAAACAAGTTGGCTTTTGTTATATAATTCTAATGAATTTATAAATTAGGAACTCTAAGAGAAGCTGTGCTCTTTATTTTTTTAAGTCTAAAACTGATAGTCTTTTAAGAATTATAATACTTTTCTAATTATATCAAGGAAAATAGTGATAATTGAAGAAAGACTCATGTCTTAGTAATTTGATCCAAATTATAAAGTGTTTATTTCTGTGTAGTAAACTGATCGATCATACAGTTTGGCTTCTCCCCACAGAGAGTGGTGAGCTATTCGTTTCGATTCTCTCCTTAACCATTTCCATTAATGTGCAGTACTTCCTTCAGCGTGTTAGTGTTTCAGTTCATAATTGCCAAAGCTTTCAGAGTTCCATAATTTAAAAGCAAAAATGTGTAATTAAAACATTACCTTTTTAGTTACTTCCTTTAAGTACAGTTGCATGTCTGTATCCTTCATTTTTTCTTTCTCACTCTCCTTTTGAGAGTGACCTGGAATGAGTTGGAAGGGGTTAAAGTGTTTTCCTCTCAGTGACAAAACCATTTTATAGTTCCAAATTAAGCTTTTGGTAGTCTTTTACCTTTACCTTTATGTGAGCTCTTTTTGTATACCATTTTCAATACTTGATAACTTTAAATGTTGACTCTTTACTAAGAAGCATTAATTTTTCCAAAAATCTAGATTAACGTAGCATGTTTATGGAATTTGGGAGAGTAACGGTGAAGGTGTCTATGTATTTTCTAAGGTAAGAGGAAAGTAATTACCTCTTAAGAAATTAGTGAACAAAGTTAATCGGTGTCTGCCTTCATTACAGGAATATTAAATTCCGTTAGACCTGAAATGTTTTGAAAAATATTTTAAGTATACCTGAAATACTTGTTAATCCTTGAAATAGAAGATATCAGACAGGATTTCTATTGTGAAAGATACCTGAAAAATTATTTTGGGTACCAAACGTCAGGCAGTGAAAAACAAGTTTTTCCATAGGAAATTATAGCTCATTAAAAAAAAGTATTCTTTGTGAGTTTTTTCCCATGTCTTGTCAAAGGATAAAATATACCTTCACATCTAAACAAGGATAACTTAACCTCAAAGAATGTTACTATTCTTCTAAGCATTCTTCCACCTCTGCTTAGAAACTTCCCTTGGTGTATTGCTGGACTGACTTGTTCGTCCAGAGCTGGGTCACTTAAACTTACTGTCCAATGTCTAAAATAGTGGGTTTTTAAAATTTGAACTGACTTTTAAGCATATTTCATCCTAAATAAATATGTGATTTGTTTTATGTAGGAAGTTTTAAAATTCATGTTGACTAACTCCCAAACTGTGAACTGCTGCCCAGATTGTTACTTTTATATTTATTTCTAATTTTTCATTAGCATAGACAAATCCCTTTCTGTTTTTTATTAGTGGGGGGGATGCTTTTTATTTGTTTTGGTTTGTTTTTGTTTTGGTAACAGGAATCAAACTCAGGACCTTGTGCTTGCCAGGCAGGCGCTGTGGCGCTGAGCTATGTTCCTGGCCCGGGCGGGGGGTGCTTTTTAAATGGTCAATATTTAACTCTCATTCGCTTTCATAGTGTGATGTAACCATGTAAAGTTACTATATCTGAACACAGATGTAGTTAATTTTTTCATTTAACCTTCAGTTGTTCAGATAAGATATATTTTATTGTAGAGGCTTTCCTTTTCACTCCATGGTCAGCAAAGAGAAAAATGTGAAGGATAAGATGGTACATGGAACTGGTTAATGGACTTTGAACTGTCTGCTTTAGTCTTATATGGATATTGATTTTTATAGAGCCAAGGAAACAGGAAATTAAACATTACCATATATTTAGGAAGCATAAACTTTAATACTATGTTGGATGTGTGTAACTTTAAAAAAAAAAAGTATTTAAAAACCAGTCCCTCTTTGTTTCATTTCTTTTATAAATAATGTAGGTGGTAAACAGATACTCTCATTTTAAACTTGTTAAATATTTAGGTAAGAACTGTAATTGGCAAGGAATTAATTATTATAAGATAGATTTGGTAGGATAGGCATAGAGTTAATTTTGCTTGAAATAGAGGTATATTTTCTGCTATGAATCACCTCACCAGTCATCTGTCAAGAATTATGTGTGATAAGATTTCTCTCTTGTCTATAAGCCACATATTCTTTGTGAATTAGTAAATAACTCATTTGTGAGCTGAATTTCATTATCGGCCATTTTGTGAGATCAACATAATGTTCTGTGGGGGAACTAGAGCCAGTTGTCACTGCAAGGTTGTATGACAGCTTTGTTTCAAGACTTACAGCTAGTATATAGGGTTCTACTTTTTTCGTATGCCTCATCCCTGTACCTGACAATTTAGGATTCGGTGGAGCCATGCTAGAAGGAACAAAGGAACATCTGACGTGTACTGGGGATGAATTCCCGGGTGTTATCCACACAGAGGGGGTGTTCCTAGAATCCAGAACAGAGACATAGTAGAAAAGAAGATGGCTGCTCCAGATGACTCGGGTTTTATATACTTATGGTTGAACATGATTTTTTTTTTTTAATAAATGAAACTTGATTCTACAACCAAAATAATAGGAGGAAGGGTTATATCTGCTTACACTTTTTAAAAGCTTATAGTTTGAATGGTAAAAAATGCTGTTAACCCTGTACAAGTCTGGCAATGAGCTCTGCATGAGGAAACGGAAGGAGGAATATGAAAAATAACTCCAGGAAAGTGGGTCTCCCTTTTCTGATCATGGGCTCTGGAAAGTATTCATCACCTTTACCAGCATTTGGTATAAACCAGAGAAAGGATATATGTATGTACTTGCGTGTGTCTGTGAGTGCGTGTGTGTCTGAGTGTGACTCTAAAACAGCTTGTAAATATTGTAGTTGTTTAAAATGGAAAATAAAAGCTGAAGAGTTTTTTGGCAAATATATTGCATCAAAAATACAGTATTGACAGTGGATAAAACACAGGAAATAAATTTTTTTTCATTTTGCCCTCTGTCCATTTTTATCAAATTGAGAAACCTGAATGCATTACCTTAAGGTCTGTGTGGCATATTCCTAAAACATACACTTGTTTCTGAAGAAATCACTTTAAACAAGAGTCTTCTGGCCTATAAACACGCAGTTTAGTTTATAATAGCAGAGTGCATATTCCCTGTTCTAAGAAGCTGTCCTTCCCTCTTGGTAGAAAGGTGGTAATTTCCATCTTCTGAGTTGAGCTAGGTGTTACTTATTAGTGATAGTCCAGCAGATGAAACAAACACGGTAAGAATATACGTGTTCATTTACGTAGTGTGTGGCAGTGCAAAAGAAAGTATGTTCTTCAGTCAGGCAAGTACCAGTGTGTTTCATGTACTTTGTGTAGTAGCCCAGTGAGCGTCATGTGGGTTTACTTTAAGAAGAGGCAGTCTAACTTGGAGTGAGAATAGACATGGGCGTTTGGTTAAATTATTTATTAATAAATAAACCTTTATCACATCGTCTTAACTGAGTAACAGAATTGGCAGGATGCAGGTTCCTTCCTTCCTGTCTCCAGATCATAGTAGCACGGTGGAAGCAGTGTTAGGTATTAGAGGACACTCTGTAGTGACAGGAAGCATCATTAAATGAAACACATTTCACAAAAAGGAATTCCCTGTATTAGTACGTTGCATTCTTGGAGCCAAAAATCGAAGGAGCTAAGGACGTGAAATTTGGGCCCTGTGAACCTTTTCCCTTACTCTTAATATGCATTTCATTAGGGCTTTCCTTACTAAAGAACCCACAGGTGTTTGGCCGGCCACAGCCATTGAATCCCACCCTGGGGGTGTGCTTTTCCTTGGCTAGGGAAAAGTACCCTGTGAAATAAGAGCACATTGAGTGTAGCATCTCAGTTATTCAGTCAGCTTTTTTTTTTTTTTTTTTTTTTTTTTTAGGTTTGGCTTTTATTTTTGCCTTTTTTTTTTTTTTTTTTTTTTTGAGATAGAGTCCAGCTATGTAATTCAGACTGGCCTTGAACTCACTATGTAGCTTTGGCTGGCTTCCATCATGGTGCTTTTGCCTCAGCCTGCCAAGTGCTGGTATTACAGGCATGTGCCACCATGC